CAAAGTTGCTGTCTCTAAACACCACAGGTTGATTAAGTTTTCACCCCTTTCATTCCTCATGATATGGATTAAATCGCAGCACCTGAGGCTTTGGGAAACATTCAAACCATATCCAAAGCCTAGCATCAACATCCAGATCCATGAAGCTCATAAACCTCAGCTGGATTCAATGTAAAAGGGTCCTTTTCAAGGCACATTGTAGTCAAACTATCAAAAGTCAAAGTAAGAATTCTAAAAGCACTAAGAGACCAACATCAAGTCATATGGAAGGAATCACCATTAGAGTAACAGCAGATTTCTCAACAGAAACCTTGGAAGCCAGAAGAGAGTGGAATGATATATTCCAAACTGCTGGCAGAAAAAAAAAAAAAACTGTCAAGAATAATATGCTGAGCAAAGCTATTCTCCAGAAGTGAAGAAGAAATAAAGCCTTTCCCAGACAAGCAAAACCTGAAGGAGTTCATCATCACTAGACCAAACTTGCAAGAAATTCTGAAGGGATTTTTACATCTAAGAGCAAAAGGACAAATACCACCGGGAAAACACAGGAAAGTATAAACCGTAGTAGTGGAGAAGATGCACAAATGAGAAAGAGAAATATAATCATATCATTGCAGAAAACCACCAATCACAAAAATAATCAATGATAAAGGAACAAAAGATACACAAAACAATGAGAAAATAACAAAATGGCAAGTGAAAGTTCTCACCTGTCAATAATAATAATCTTGAATTTAAATGGATTAAATACTCCAAGTAAAAGAGACTGGCTGGTCAAAAAAGAAGACCCCACTAAGTTGCCTATTTGAAAATCATATCACCAATGAAGACTCACACAGACTGAAAAGAAAGGGAGGAAAAAGATGTTCTGCACAAGTAGAAACCAAACAGGAGCAGAAGTGGATATACTGACATCACATAAAATGAATGTGAATTCAAAAACATAAAGAGAGACAAGATCATTAGACAATGATAAGGGGATCAATTCAGCAAGAGGACTATATAAAATTATACAGAAAAAATATATATATAATTATTTTGGCCCACCAAATATTATTAGATTTAAAGAGAGAAAGACTCCAAAACAATAATAATTGGGGACTTCAACAATCCACTTTTAACAATAGAGATATGAGCCCTCCAGGAAAAAAATTCATATTTTTTTAGTTGTAGTTTGACACAATATCTTTATTTTGTTTTTATGTAGTGCTGAGGATTGAACCCAGGGCCTTGCACATGCTAGGCGAGCACTCTACTGCTGAGCCACAATCCCAGTCCCTTAAAAATCATATTTAATCTATACTATAGATCAAATTGACCTAACAGACATTCACAAAACATTTTATCCAAACAGCTAAAGAAAATACATCTTCATACTATCACACAGAACATTCTTCAGGACAAACCACATGTTAGGCCTCAAAAAAAAAGAAAAACTCTCAACAAAACTTGAAATCATTTATCTTCTCTGAACACAGTGGAATAAAACTAGAAGTCAATAATTAGAACTTTAGAAACTGTACAAATGCATGTAAATTAAGCAACAGGCTCCTTAACCTGGGGGAAAAAATTTAAAGTTGAAAATTTTCTTGAAACAAATGAGAATGGAAACACAATATAGCAAAACCTATGGATACAGCAGAAACAGTATTGTGAGCAAGATTTATAGCAATAAATGCCTACATTGAAAATCCAAAACATTTCAAATAATGTCTTAATGATGCACCTCAAGAAACTAGAAAAGCAGGAACAAACCAAACTTAAAATTAGTAGAAGGAAAGAAAGAACAAAAGTCAGAAAGAAAAGAAATGAAATTGAGACTTTAAAAAATACCAAAAATGTCAACAAAAGAAAAGTTAGGTTTAAAAAAAAATCAAATCTACAAACTTTTAGCCAGCCTAAGAAAAAAATAGAAAATAAATAAGTAAAATCAGATGAAATTACAACAGATAACACATAAATACAAAGGATCATTAGAGTTATATAAACCAATAAATGCCAACAAATTAGAAAACCTAAAAGAAATGGGTAAATTCCTGGACATATACAACCTACTAAATGAAAGCATGAAGGAACAAAAATCCCAAACAGACCAAGAGCAAGTAATGAGATCGTATCAGTAGTAAAAAGTGTTCCGCAAACCAGCACCCAGGACCTGGTGATTTTACTGTTGAATTCTTCCTCACACTCTATTCCAGAAATGTAAAGGAAAATAAATCCTGCCAAACTCATTCAAGGGGCCAGCATTAGCCTGATACCAAAACCATATAAGAACACACAGACACAAACACAAGGAAACTAAGACAAATATCCCTGATTAACACAGATGCAAAAATTCTCAAAAAAAAAATTAGTAATCCAAATTCAACAATAAAACAAAAAGATTATACACCATGATCAACAGGGACTTTTACCAAGGACATAAGGATGGCTCAACATACACAAATCAATAAACATGATATACTGCATTAACTGAACAAAGAGCAAAAATCATGATCATCTCAACAGATGCAGAAAATAGCATTGGATAAAATCAGCATCCCTTCATGATAAAAACTCTCAGCAAATTAGACAGATTGTACCTCAACACAATAAAAGTTATACATGACAAACCCACAGCGAACATCATACTAAATGGGGAAAAGTTGAAAGCATTTCCTCTAAGACATGGGATAAGAGAAAGAAACTAGATATCCATCCATATGCAGAAGGATGAAACTAGAACTTTATTTTTCACCATATACAAAAATCCACTCAAAATGGACTAAAGACTTAAATGCAAGACCTGAAACTGTGAGACTACTAGAAAAAACATTCTGTGATTATGCAGAACCACGGAAGGTCATTGTTCTGAGGGCAGACATAGAAGTCATTCACAGGTTTATGGTCAGTGGTTAGCAAAGGATGAACAGGAACGTCTGTGGGTCTCTCTTCATGCTGGAAACATCTGTAGGTTTGAAGAGGGAAGGCACCCAAGAAGACTTGCTCAATGGTTGGTCATACGTGATAGTTGGCTTCCTGCAGATGGCTTCTGATTTCTCATGGGCCAGCAGCGAGCAGCCTTGCCAAGCCCAGGGCAGGGGGTGGGACTCCAGATGCCCAAGGTCCCCTTCAGCACAGACAAGAATGTCTACACCATGTGACAAGCACTCAGGGTCTGAACACCCAAACTCTATGCACAGGCATTCCCTCCCAGAGCCTGACCTGGGAACACGTCTGTTTCCAGGACCAGTTAGTGTCCCAAGACCCCAGGGCTTTCAGTGCAGCGGGGACAAACCTAGAAGACCCTTCCTGCTCTGCTTCTCAATGACATAGCTTTTTTTTCTTTTTTCGTTTCTTGTGCTTTTTGATTGCTCAGAATGGCACCGTGCCATAGCCATTTGCAGAATGTTTTTCTCACCTACCACAGCTTGGCCGTCTTTCCATCTTTGTATTTACAGTCTGTGATGGGATTAAATTTTTTTGGTCAATTTAGCCAGGTTATGGTGCGCAGATCTTTGGCAAAATACCAGTCTAGAGGTTGCCATGAGGTTACTGTATACATGTGATTAACATGTACAATCAATTAGCTTGAAGCAAGGACATTATTCTTGGTAATGTGACAGGCTTCATCCAGTCAGCTGAAGGCCTTAAGAATAAAACTGGGGTTTCCTGGGGAAGGATTTCTGCCTGGTGAGTGTAACCTGGAAGTCCTGCCTGAGTCCCCTGTCCACCCCATTCATTTCTTTGGAGAACACTGATGGACACACAGACCCACCTTCCAGATCCACCATCCAAACCCACCCACCGTCTCCCATTTTTCCTTCATAACTTCCTCATGTTTTCTCTCTTCCTTGAAGAAAATAGGAGGTGATCAGATGCCATTAGGTGAAAATAAAGCCCGAGGGTAAAGAACACACTGACTGTCATCAGATTAGAAGGGACTAAAAGGCCTTAGGGTACCAGCCAGTATACTTCTTCCTTTTGGTATTTATATATTTTGATGTCGAGAATGCCTTTGTATAAAAATACAGAAGGTATTTCCATATTCATAAGAGACTAGAGTGGGTTTATAATTTATTCAAGTTACTGCATGGTTTTCCCAATATCAACTGTCTCCCTCCTGGTGAACATTTAAATTATTCTTATCTTTTTGCTATCACCAACTGTATTAATCAACTTTTCACCGCTGTGACCAAAATACCTGGCAAGAACAACTTGGAAGAGAAAATTTCTATTTTTCTCATTTCCTAGGTCTCAGCCCACAGTTGGCCGACTCCATCACTTTGGGCCCAAGATGAGGCAAAACATCATGGCAGGAGAGCACCAGAGAGGATCGCTGCTCAGCTCATGGCAGGTTCAGGGAGCAGAGAGGGCAAGGGGCAGGGGCTGTACGGAAGCTGACCCCTCCAGGGCAGCCCCCAGTGACCATCTCCTCCAACCACGCTTCACCTGCCCACAGTTACCACCCAGTCAGCTCATTCAAACTAGGATGGGCTGACTAGGCTACAGCTCTCACAATCCAATCATTTCACCTCTGAATACTCCTGCATCAACAAGCGCTTTAGGGGACACCTTATGTCCAAACCATAACACCCAACAATACTTAATTTTAAAAGGCCACCATAGATTGGGTGCTAAACACCCCTCAAAGGGCCTTGGGTTTAAGGGTGCAGAGACATCTTTTCAATGATGTCTTCCCATTTTTTATATCTGAGAACGGAATTAGAGTCCCAATCACCTCAGGAGAAGACACTATGTGTAAGTTTCAAGCCAATCCAGACAAATTATGTTGTGCATGTATGAGGGGTGCTGCCGGGGATTGAACCCAGGGACTTCCACATGCTAAGCACATGCTTGACCACTGAACTACAGCCAGCCCAAGACAAATTCTTAACTCATCTGTGTAGTTTTTACCCTCCAGAAGTGGCTGCTGTCTACTTGGGTTGATGGACTTTAAAATCACACCCCTGTTTGTTATTGTTCATGACAGAAGACAAGTCCAAGGTCATTCCTTTCACAGGTCAGTTTTTATTTTCAGCCCTCTCTATGAACCACAGAATGCCCTGGGACTTCTGACCCTGCCTTTAGCAATGGGCTGTGGCTCTTCTGAATGTGGGTTTGCCTCTTTCTCATCACCACCATCTTCAAGTATCACTCACAGGGTCCTCAGTGCAAGGTACAGGACACATAAAAGAGGGCTCGTGAGGCCAGATTCACTACCTGCCTGCCTGGTTTTTCTGTACACAGGTGAGATATTCCTGCACATCATCTGGGGATCCCAAAATGAGGGGGACTCGTTGGTGGATACTCTCAGGCTTCACGTCCAGTACAGGCTGGGTGCCTGTGGTTGCCACACCTCCTGCCTGCTCGATGATATAGGCCACGGGATTGCACTCATATAAGAGCCGGAGCTATGGAGAAACAGACACGTTAGACAAGCTTTGTAAGCGGCCAGACATCCCAAGTCACATCCCCGAATCTTGAGGAGGAATTCAAACCAATGAGCTTCTATGTAGCTCACCTCTAGCCAGGTGGCTGACCCGTGTATCCGCCTATCTGGTGACCGTGGTGCCTATAAGAGACTTGTCTCTTGATTTGGAGATATAAGATTTAGGGCCCACTTCTTGCTGGCTATGGCAAACTGATTGTGCACACATGGTTAGAAGCCTCTCCATGTGAGGACTTACAGCTGGTAAGATGTCCAGCTTGGATGAATTTTAAGGTCACTTGAAAGGGCAAGGTGGCCTCTCTGCAGACGATCACAGTGGCTAGGATGGTACTGCAGGAACTCTGCATCTGGAGTGTAGATTAGATGGACAGCCTACTGAAGCTCACACGGTCTTTTATTTTGGACCCTGAACTAAGGGAAATTCTGTTGCTCATGCTCTGATAGCACCCTGCACCTCCATCATCACAATGAGGTGTGCTGAACCCGACTGCTCCCCACACTGCCCACCCTGAGGGCAAGGATGGCCTCTGCCGTGGCTGGTCATTGTGACATCTCCATTCCCAGCAGTGCCTGATGCACAGAAAGTGCCCAAGCAGGCTACTGGCCGTCCTCCATGATGGTTCCCAGCTGGTTACAGAACTGGGGGTTAAAATCAGCCTGCACCCTGCTTGCTAAGTTCTGTGCAGGAACCTGGGGCTGAACTTATTTGAAGGAAGGAGTGCCTTCTACTCTGTCCACAGGCACCCTGAAAATTAGCTGGTTCCTACCTTGTGTCCCATAAATAGATGGGGAATTGAATTGATTGAGGTTGGATCAAATGTCCTCTTTTGTTCCATTTCTGTGATTCTGTTGTGACCCCTAACCACCACTAGACACACACACACACACACACACACACACACACACACACTGCACTAGATTCCGGATGACGTTCTAGCTGGAAGCCCTGCTACCATGCCCCCACTCAGTGTCCTAATATCTTCTCCTTCCTTCTCCTCATTGATGCAAAATACGTAATTTACAAAAAAGAAGAAAAAGTTCATTTCTGTAATCAGCTTGCAAAATGTTGACCTGGCTCTCTGTAGCTTTTTTCTTCTTCATTCTTTTCTTCAAAGAAAAAAACCACTTTAAGAAATATGTCTTGTGCTGATCTTATTGCTATTATTATTATCATTATCATTATCATTACTACTTCAAAGGAGAGAAACAAAGTATTTTAGTCAGGATTAGAGGGCCAAGCATTCAAGAGACAGAAGGTGAAGACTTCAGAGGGCATTCGCTGCCATTTTGGTCAAACAGTGCCCTTACCTTAGGTCCCTGCCCTTAGAGTAGAGGGCCCTGGGCAGGACCTGGAGAAGCCATGGTGCAGGTGGGTGCACCCAGCTGGGCCAGTTTTGTTCCTGATCAGGGACACTGGAGGCCATGTTGTCTCACAGACAGTCTGTGCAGGGACACTCTTACCTTGGTGGCTTGCAGAACTTGGCTTTTTCCTCCCCTTTCCTTTGCCCTGGGGACTTGAGGGCAGGGGAAATCTGGGGTGCAGACAAGAAAGTCTCAGACTTTCAACTAGCCTGTTGAGTCACATACTTAAAAATAAATAAATAAAGGCCCAGCATTGGCAAGTAATGTACTTGTTTGGGGGCCAAGTTATTTTGCCCTGTCCTCAGATGCCCCTGTTGTAGCTGACCAGTCTTAAGAGCAAGAAATGCCCAGGACTTCATGGTACGTTGACCTGTGGGCCACACAGTCTACTCATTTTCAGCAATTAAAATCTACATGGCTACACAGAGACAAGCACACATGAATGAAACACATGTGCATGCGAGTGCACACACATGGACGTGATCTGAGAGAAACATGAAGATCTCATAAAGATGAAACATGGAGATCAAGAACCAATGGTAGGGACTGGGGTTGTGGCTCGGTGGAAGAGCACTTGCCTAGCATGTGTGAAGCCCTGGGTTCCATCCTCAGCACCGCATATGAATAAACAAATAAAGTAAAAAATTCATTGGCAACAAATTTTTTTTTTTTTAAAAATGAACCAATGGTAGGGCTGGGTGTGGTGGCATGCACCTGTAATCCCAGCAGCTCTCTGAAGGCTGAGGCAGGAGGATCACGAGTTCAAACCCAGCCTCAGCAAAAGCAAGGTGATAAGCAATTCAGTGAGACCCTATCTCTAAATAAAAATACAAAACAGGGCTGGGGATGTGGCTCAGTGGGCAAGTTCCCCTGAGTTCAATCCCTGGTACTAAAAAAAAAAAAAGAACCAATGGAGTGTCAGGGGGTTGTGGCTCAGTGGTGGAATGCCCACCTAGCACAGGTGAGGCCCTGGGTTCAATCTTCAGCACCACATAAAAATAAAATTACTCTGTCCATCTACAACTAAAAAAAATTTATTTAAAAAAAAAAAGAGCCAATGGTCCCTCCAGTATGGCCATGGTCCTGGGGCAACGGGTATAGGTAAACATGGGGGATGACACGTGCTCATAGGACTCCTTTGAGTAATTCTGCGTGGGTATTTTCTGACTCATGTAGAATCATTTTAATAATCAGTAATAATAACTCTTCATGCTTTCCCTCCTGGATCTGAATATGTGGCAAGAGTGGCTGTGTTTCAGAATTTCCGCATCTGATGCTTGGTCTCGCTTCCTCTCCACCGCACTTCTCTGTCCTTGGGCACCTCTCATGCAGACTTCTCTGTGCCTCTGAGTTCAGCTAAACACTAAACACTCTCACAAAGAAAAATGCCCAATACACCGACCTGCACATTAAAATCTCAGTCTCACGTGCTACGCTGGATTTCTTACAATGGCTTTGAGTTCTGGCATTCCACTAACTCCAACCTCAACGGCCAATCAGAATGGCACACAGGTGTGTGGCCAGCTGTTTGTGTGACAGAGGTAAATGTGCGTCTTCCTGTGATTGACCAGTTCCTGGTGATTTCTGTGACTTGCTAAAATTCAGAAGCATTTCCACAGAAGGTTCTATTATAGATAAATTTGGACCATAAGACATGATTCTCACTGGGGAATGTATTTTCAAGATTGTATCATAAAATTTCAGCTACCCTCCTAGAAATACTGAGTGAGTTTGAGCCAAAATTTTTATTCTGAAGCCTGGGAGCTCTCTAAAAGGTTCTTGGGTAGACTTCAGGGCATCTGTGAACCCCCCAAAAGTGAATGTGAAGTGTGTGATCATGTGTACTTTTTCTGGGAAGCAGGTTGATGGAGTTCACTAGATTCTTTAAGGGGTCAACAATCGCCAAGTCAGCTGGTGCTGCCACTAGAAATGAGACCCGGCCTGTAGGAAGTGGGACATGAACACAGGGGACTCACAGCAAATGACCCAGAGGCAGGCTGAGGTGAGGGTCAGTAGGAATCCCCAGTCACATCACGCCAGCCGCCCCTTCTCCAAACCTCTACCACACTCAGAGCTCACCAGTGGGAAGCAGAGCTTGCTGCTCTCCCCTGCCAGCTCGCAGACACAGAAGCCCAGGAGCAGCACCAAGCTCTAGCAGTTCACTGACAGCACACAGGAGAGTTACCTTGCCCTTGGGGCTCTTCTGGTTGGCTGGGTACAAGAAGATCCCTCCATAGACCAGGGTACGGTGCACATCGGCCACCATGGAGCCCACATACCTGGCCCCATAGGGAGCACTGCCATCCTGGAAGGCAGAAAGAGACAAGATCCAGAGGGTTTTGCAACTAGCCTGCCCCACTCCCAGGCCCTGAGTCCTGCTGGCACAGCTCTGCCACCCTTCCCTTAGCTTAGGGCAGAGGACTTAGGGAGACTGAGCACTTTAGCCATGGAGAGCCCTGCTAACCTCAGCCAGTGATTGAACCCATTAAATGTAGGACTACTTAAAGTAAGTGTCCTGCAGCAATCTTAACTGAACAGCTAACCTGAAGGAGCACCATCAGCCCTATTCATTCCCAATTCCCCACCAACAGGTTGCACTCACTTCAGATGGAAAACATTTTTTTAATTGCGTCTGTACTGAACATACATGGACTTTTTTCTTGGCATTATTCCCTAAACAATAACAGCATAATAACTATTTAAGTAGCATTTACATTATATTAGCTATCATAAGTAATCTAGAGATCATGTAAACTATATGGAGGATGTGCATAGGTTAATGTAAATACCATGCTGTTTAATACAAGGGACTTGAGCATCCAAGGATTTTTGTATCTGAGGTGGGTCCTGGAATCAAACTCCACAGATACTGAAGAAGGACTGGATTTCCAACAACGGCTTGGAAACTTCCGGTTTCCAAGAACCAGACCTCCTTGAACAATGGCAATGATAACTTTTGTACTTCCTGCAAGCAGTCTTTCTCCACTGGACAAATCTTAAACGCCTCTAGAAACTGTTAAAGACATCTTCTAACAATGTATTTGTAAACCTCAATTTCATTATTGACGTATAATGAAAGGAACATTCGTGCAGAGAGAAGTAAGTCAAAGATCATGATTTTGCTCAAAGAAGCACATAACAGCCAAGCAGGGGCATATGATTAAATCCTTCCCTCGAGTGGATTTATTTCTCCCCATCCAGCCACCACCTACAATTTCTTTGATCTCAGGAGTCTCTGGCAGTGTCGTGGGGCAGCCAATTCTCCAGGGCAGCCTCACACCTTGTGCCCCCCAGCAAAGCTGGGGATCAACTCAGCAGGGTAGTAATGGTGAGTGATGCCAAGCTGCCTTCAAAACAAGTACTTGTCAAAGACGTACAGTCTTTAAAGATGTGAACACAAGCCAGAGTGAGTCCTGGGTCAAGGCTGCATTAGAAAACAGAAAGGGAACCGCTGTCAGGAATTTCCTGTGGATGGTTCTCACTGAATGCCAACATTAATCCTTTGAGTTAGGAGCTGCCACGATCCATCTGATCTATCGCTTCGCAGCCTGGAGACAGGCGCACAGAAAAGGAAGATTCTGGTGAAGCTTGGAGACAGCAGCCACATGGCGGCCTCTGTTTCTCTTTCCCAAAGTTATCTCCATCATCCTTTTTCTGCAAACAGAGTTCCACTGTGACCACACTGTTCCATCAAGCATCTCCTCTTTTTTTGAGCACAGCGCAGACTCTGGAATAATTACAGTAAATTACCTCTCCCGGGCTGTGTGACTCACGGTTCCTCCCCACCCCCACTCGCTGGACCCCTGTGGTCTTAACACTCAGTTACTTCCTGTCCTTCATTAGGAAGAAAGGGTCTAAACAACAGGACAGCCTCCAGATCAGCAACTAGACCAGGCCAGAACAGATGGCCATGTTTTCATATGCCGCCTTCTAGGTTTACACCATCCAATACAGTAGATGCAGGCCTCATGCAGACATTTAATGTTTTTATTTTATTTATTCTATTCTATTCTATTCTATTCTTAATTTATTTACTTGTTTGTTTGTTTATGTATTTATTTATGTATTTATTTATTTATTTTTTGTAGCAGGAATTGAACTCAGGGTGCTTAGCCACTGAGCTACATCCCTAATCCTTTTTATTCTTTATTTTGAGACCCAGTTTTGCTAAGTTGCTTAAGGCCTCACTAAAGACCTTAAGTGAGACTAGCTTTGAACTTGGGATCCTCCTGCTTCAGCCTCCCTAGCCACTGGGATTAGAAGCATGTACCACTGTGCCCAGCTTAATTTTAAATTTCAAATAATTAAAATTAAGAAAGATTAAATTTTGGTTCTTCAGTCAGATGAACCACATTCCAAGCCCACATGTGGCCAGTGGCCATCACAGTGGACTACATGGATGCAGGGTGTTTCTCTCATTGCAGAAAGGTGTTCTGGACATCACTGATGTCAGTTATGAGATTCGAGAGCTTGAGCATCAGAGTTGGGATCTGAAGTCCCGGGTCTGCCTCCAGAGCCCACACACCTGACTTCTGTTCCCTTCAGATGCCTTGGCTTCCAACCAGTTGCAGTGCCAAACGGGGCTTCCTGGGTGCACAGCTCTCCTTACTGCCCTGCCCTCTGTCCACAGTCCTTGGGGATCCCAGCACTGTGTCAAGAACATCCTCTGTTTATCTAACGCCAGAATTTCTTCTTGTATCTATAGATGGAGCTTCTCGGATCCAAGGATGTATTTCTGGGCTTCCATCGAATCTCTTCTTATCAGAGTCAGAATTGGGCCTTCCCAGGGCTTCTAGGCCCTCAGTCAAAACTGGCTTTGCATTGATAAGAAAAACCTCTCCCAGGACTCTCAGGCGTTGCCCTTGGGAATTATTAAGCATTCGTACAAGTTTCCTGATGCTAGCCTGCCGGGTCTTTCAGGGTCAGATCCAACTGATCTGTGGTCATGGGTCTGTGGAACTTTTAAAACAAGTGAAACCAAAATCTACAGAAAAAACAATTCCTATGTTAGAGCCAGATTCATATTAAACCTACAACTCCATGTTAAGTGACAACCAGAGAATTTTAGAGCCTTAATTTATATTAGGGAATTAGCTAACTTGCTTTGTTGTTTAGAATTTCTTTTCTTAATAAGACTGGCAAAATGCTTAAATTATACCAACATATTGATTCATATGTTAGGCTTATAGGATAATATTTTTACAACTTAAATGATGACCAGACTTCCTGTTTTCTAAGAGTGACCAGAGAGTCCAGGGTGTGGGGGAGGGCTTTCAGTTGGCAACCTGGAGTTACTCCATGCAGACAGATTTCTAAGAAGGAAAAGGAGATTAAAACAACCTGCTTTTTAGATTGTCACTACACAAGAGCCCCTTATTCAGTATACTGATCACATGCACATGTCAGCCACACCATCCGTTCCAGCTAACCTCTTCTGTACCCAAGGAATATATGGCCCATTGTTTTAGTTTACTGCTTCTGCTCAGAATATCTAGATTAATTTTAAGATCTGGTGGAAAGTCTAAGACACTAAGGTAGCACTTATTCACACTGGATGGAAATCCACTAATAAAATGGAACCTATACAAAGGGAATAGGTTGAACTGGAACAGAATAGAATGGAAATAGAATAAATGCAATAAAGGAATGAATAGAATAGAATAGATATTTAGGAGTCATAGAGAAAACAGGAAACTTAACTTGATTGAGTTGTGTTTGTGTGTGTGTATGCACGTGTGTGTGCATTTACATGTGTATACGTGTTCTAGATGTATAATACATTTCTTAAGAGTGATCACAGTTGAAAGTTTGAAGAATGCTGGCCTGCTAGACCCTGATTATTCCTTGGCATCTCTTGGAAAACTCTGCAGATGCTGATCTGCTTAAGGCACCTTCTCTGCTTTGTAAAGCTGCAAAGAGCAACTTCATTCTAGAACTTGAGTGTCCTTCTAGCCTTGTCAAAATATTTAGGCTGGGCTGTGAGAAAGGATACAAGAGAAAAATTGTTGAAAGAGCAGAAAGTTTAATTTGGTTATTTTAAGTATCTCCTAGGGACTCCAACTTTACAGAAGAGTTCTTATTGGCACAATTTGTTTCTAGAAAAGGCTGGAACCCAAACCCCCCAGGACTCTTTCTACTGGGATAATGGACTATGTGCAGAGCTGGAAAAATCTCCCTGGGGAATCCTGAGCCAGGAGGATCCACCTTTATTCTCAAGTGCATGGAAATTCATGCGTTAAGGAAACTGGAGATGAGAACAAGGTAAAAAGAGAAAGGAGACTTCTTTTGCAAAATGGAAGGATCAATAATAACACATGATCCCTGCACGTAGCACAGTCAGACCACACAAAGAAAGTAAACTACCTTATGCTCCCTGTGTCCAAAACCACTATTAACAAGTTGGCTCATCTCTGAAGACTATGGACATACTCACTCACACACATACACATGTGTGTATATAAATACATAAACATAGATGCTGTAAGATCACAGTGAGTTCTGTAACCCACACATTTCACTCAATATTTTGTAGGCACATTCCACTATCAATAAATGAAGATGGGCTTGGCTTTGTTGCTGGGGTTGTCTGGAATGAGGGGTGGAGTTCAGCACCTTGTGCCATTAAGCATGCTCTCTATACCGAGGCTCCATCCCTGGCTCTGGACTTACTGTATAATGAAGACCAGGTATGTAGCACAGTATTTCACTGTGTGAACATCCATGATACCTTAACCAGCCCTTACCAAAGGATGCTTCAGCGTTCCTTCATTGACATCATAAACAATGCAGTGATGGCATATCTTTGTACACTTATCTTTTTTTTTATTTCTTTGACCGATGAGCTCCTTAGGATAAATTTCAAGGGAAATTTAAATTAGACTGCTGAGTCAGAAGATAGGAATATTTAATATTTGAAACCATATGGCGAGACGGCCATTTGAGAAACTTGCCACCTCCTGCTTTCTCTGACCATTTATAAGAGGCTTTTCTTCTCACACCCGAGGCTGCCCAATGTTCCAATCTCTGCTGTTCTCATGTGCAGACGTGAGGCAGCAGCGCTGTTTAAACTTGCATTTCTTTCTTCACCAGCCCCCTTCATGCTGACCAGTCACATGCACTTCCTCTGGGACTTGCGTGGTTACTGCCTGGGTTCCTGGTTGGGGACTAGACCACGTCCTATTGAGTTATAAAGCATCACCACGTAGCGAGACTATGCACCCACCAGTAGTAAGTACACGAGCAGTAAGTAATGTCCCCCAGCTTGCGACTTATCCTCCTAAACATTCATTTTGTGCAGAAGTTGCATTGATTCAGTGGTAAAATAGATCTCTTCCTCCACGTGTTCCCGAGGGGACAGTTTTTAGCCTACAAGTGGAACCACTGTGAAGCCATCTTCAAGACGGGGCTCCAGGTGGAAGTACTGAGACTTCACCAACCTCACAGGTCCTGGCTTGTTCCTTTTGCTTCAAGGCGTCTGACAGGTTTGGGTAAGGGAACAACATCCTACAAAGGAGCAGAACAGGAGACTGCACCTATGGGAACTATGCTTAATTAATTAAAAAGAAAGAGAAAGAAAACTCCCAAAGCCTCCACCTGAGACAGCACAGGCATCCTTGAGAGAGTGCTACCTGTTACCATGAAGTCTGGGCTCTTGTCCTTGGATTCCATCTGCCTCCTGGGACACCGGGCCTACATGTCACATCATTGCTTTTCCACCCCACCCCCCAGGATTGGCAAGGAAGGACCCACCCACAGATGGGCATCACTCCGCTTCCAACCTGGGCTCCGCCTCACACCTGGCCTGGGCGTTCCTCAATTCCAGCACACAGCTGTACCATAGATGTCCTTAATGGACTGTCCAGCTGGTCGTTGTTGGTGACATCCAGAGCTCAGTGATCAGGTGGAGAGCACAGCGCTGCCTGAGACTTGGGTTCAAGGCAAAGCTTTGCCAGTACAGCCTGCCAATGGGACTTTCAAGTGTAGTTATTCCGTCTAAAAGCAAAGATAGCTGAATAGCCAGAACTTACAGGTGGTAGCTCAGCAAGTGAATGCCTGGAAAGAGACTCTGGCCTGAACCTCTAAATACTGCCAATGTGGCCCTGCTTTCTTTATAAACAACTGCTCCTGGAGAGACTCCACTGAGGAGTGTTCCTTTAATAGGAGAATGTCGTCGACAAACGAGACTGATTGCTTATAAAGAATGCAGAGTCCACCAGACTCACACAGACCAGAGCCACTAACAGTGGTGCCAACCTCTTTCACCAAGGCCCCCCAAAGCCCCATCCAAACAGGACCCCATTGGGACAGCTGCTTCCTGCTCCAGGGTCCTCGGCTTCCCTCACTCACCTCAGGGAATTTCTTCTTCTGCACATACTCTGTGGTGGCAGCGTCAAAATACTTGGCATAGCCCTCGTTGAGGCTGTAAATCTTTCCTTTCTTCTTAATCCTGACATCCTTGTCCACAAGCACAAATTCCCCAAGAGCCTAGAGAGGTGATAAGAGACATCAGGGAAGAAGAGAGATACCAGGAAACAGAAGACAACAGCACAGCTCACCACCATCAGGGGCAGGAGAGGATGAGGGCCTACTGGGAGGACCCAGGGGTCAGCTGTGGGCACACTAGAGCTGGCCTGTGGTGCTTTCATGAGTACTACAAAGAACAGCCATGAGATGGAGCCTGCCCAGGAAGCTCTAGCAGTAATAGACTAAGAGGTCAAACAGTTCCAAGGGAACATGGCCCCTGGCCTTCTCTCTTTACCTTGGTGTCTCTAACATCAGCTAAGTTTCAAGGAGTCTCGTTGCATTTACCCCCAAGTTCTCATCCCTGGTTTAATGTTTGCAGGAAGATTTGAGCCACCAACAACGAGAGACAGAAGTTACAGACACAGGTAGGGGTGTAGCTTGGTGATAACCTGTGCTTTAGCCGTTCTGCTCATCTTCATGAGTCTCTCTTGGAAACCATTAAAGGCTCCTGGTAACCCAAACACTTCTGTCTGAAGAAAGCCTTCCTTCCATTAGATACTGCGTTCACTCAGCATAAAGAAACAGATAAGCACACATTCCAAGAGACCTCAGAGTTACTAATAAGATGGTGCCCATGGCCCCACTGATCCCTGTGGCCACTGGGGTCAATATCTGCAGGGGGTCCCTCAGGCAGCTCCACCTAGCTCTGCCCCCATCAATCCCTGTGGAATGAGATCGTCCAGATGGAGATACCATCTTAAACGCTCACGTCTAAGGTGCTAGGAGGAAAACCAGGGCCTGGAAACCAGCCCATTTGGGTGCATCTTGAGGCTGAGAATGTGAAAAGCTGAAATGTAGACCACAGCCGGCCACTGGACTAGGGATGTCCAAGGAACATCATCTTCATTCCTAGAATAGAGAGACAAGGCCACACTGAGCCACCTGATGAGGCTGGGTTGTTTTCTCTCTTGCTTATCTGCAAAGAGCTCAGTAGACACAATTTTTTCTCCAAACCATGATGTTCATTAGTCAGGGGAGGAGCAGAACAAGTGCTGTAGCAGGTGAACTTGCTTCTCTGCCCCTGGGCCTGGGGCTGGGGACTCTCAGGTCTCTGCAGTGTTGTTCCCTAGTGTGGGGCAGATGTGTTTGTGAAGCCTCACCACAACCAATTACTCACATGGCCTCAGAGGCACCGAGACACGAGAGCTCCTGACAGCAGGGCACCAGGTCCTTGTCACCCCGACGACACAGGGTGATTTTTAAATGAATGCCCTGATGTGCAGTTTAGACCCACAATTGAGAGTCTGGTTAAAATGCCGTTGTCCCTCTGTGCCTGAGCAACCTGGGTCCTCCAACACAATTAAATCGCCAGCCCTGCAAACCGCCCCCCCCCATCAGTCAGGCTCTGGCTGACCCAGGAGGGAATCCTGTCCCCTCAGGTTCCTACCTCAGTCACTGCTGACACTCTCCACAGCTCCTTCAAGTTCACACCCTAACAGTCCCAAAACTTCCTACACCAGGATTTTGCTTAAACGTCACTTTTAGAGAACTAAAAGTCAACACACTATGGAGATGCGGGCACAGCAACGTTTATAGCAGTGCAGTTCACTGTAGCCAAGTCAAGGGACCAGCCCTGGTGCCTCGGGTGAATGGATGAAGAAACTGTGGTATAATACACAACGAAATCTTACTCAGCCATGAAGAAAAATGAAACGATGGCATTTGCTGGTAAATGGCTAGAAGTGGAAAATATCACGCTAAGTGAAATAAGCCAGACTCATCAGAAAGTCAAAGGTTGAATGTTTTCTCTCATATACAGAAACTATAGCAAAATAAGGGAGAAAGTGCCTGAGGAGGAGCCCATGAAAGAGAAGGGAGATCCGTGGAGTAGAGGAAGGGGGTGGAGGGGCTGGGAAGAGGAATGGAAAGGGGGGATCTGTGGAGTCAATTGACCAAGTTATGTTATGGGCATTTATGAATAATCCACAGTGAATTCCACCTTGGTGTGCCTCTATAGAGCACCCGTTTTAAAAATCAATCAATAAATAGAAGGAAGACCAGGAGAGGACGGGGAACAGGGGGAGGGTAGAGGAGAAGGAAAGGAGAGGTGCTGGAGCACATTACATTCCACACGTGCGTGATTATGTCCAGATGAGCCCCACGATTGTGGATGATTATAATGCAAGAATGGAAACTGCTTTCGAGTTTCACTACTAGCAGGATGATGTGACCCGAAAGGTTTCAGGCTAATAAAGAGAGATGGGGAAAGATTACCGTGTTGTTTGTCTCTCCTTCTGACACGTAGACAAGCTTCCCTATCCAAGCTGCGCCTTCTGTTGTGACTGGAGGCAGAGAGCAGAGGCTCTGGTGGAGGCTCCGAGGCCCCCAGTCAGATCCCGAGGCAAACGTGCCTCCGAGGCCTTCAGAACCTCTTCAGAATGCCTGGGGACTGCTCTGCCTGCAGCCAACTTTTTTCAAGGTTCTGTCTGGCTTAGCACTGCTCCTGACGCCAGGGTCACCAGCATGACCCTGGGCAGGTCACCTGCTGTCGCTCACTCCCTGGGCCTCACTAGGAAGTGGGTGAGACTAATATAGGAGCAGGGTCCCTCGTATGTGCACCTGTGGGCATGAATGGCTTGGCAGGACTACCCACATTTCCCTGGCACTATCTGCAGCTGTTACTCCAGAGGCAACGTTATTGTCTGACGGTCATATTTGTATCCCACAGGATTTCTCAGGCTTTGCCTGCTTCTTTGAAAATAAAGGGAAATTTGGGCATTGGTAAACTGACACAGCAAGGGCCCTGGTGTAATGAGTCTATTTATGTAGGTGACTGGGCTTCCACACTGCAAACCCTGTGCTATTAGCTAACTCTATTCTGTTCAGAACTGTGACAGCTCCCTCCTTCCACACAAACGCACTGACAGGAGAGCTCCACCAGGGCCGGAGTGTTTGTGTGATCAGTGCTGTATCGCTGCTGCCCAGAACAGTACTTGGGACATAGTAGATGCTCAGTAAGCACTTATAAGCCTGAATTAAACTCAAGTGCTGAACTTTCCCCTGAGCGAATGCTGCAGGCTTTGAAATGGCCTTTAGTCAAAACTGCTTTGTTTTCCACAAGACCTGGTGGTATCTGGCAAAGCAGTTCATAAGTGACGGGTAAAGCATCCAGAATTTAAAGAAAATGTTTTACAATTTAGAAATAGGTTTGCAAAATTTCTCCTTAGCATTTTTAAGTACACATGCTGTGAAGGCTGAGCCTTATTTTTTAAGCTCTCCTTCCTGTATCCAGCTATTTCTTCCCTCAGTGAAGCTGGCTCTGTGACACCGTTCATCTGCCCAGAGGTTCCCCTCTTCCTCTTCTGTCCCTGAGCATTTTCTCAGTGTGCAAAGTGTGGAGAAGAACAGAACCTGATAGAAGAGTATTCTACCAGTCGCTCCCACCACGGGGAAGCACGTGCACATCAGTAGAGTCCTCCAAGCCTGTCCTGCCCACTACAGTGGCCACTGGTCACCCATAGCTATTGATATGAACAGAAATGAAATAAAATGTAAAAATCCCACTTCCCAGTCACCCTGGCCACGCCTCCAGAGTCAGCAGTTACAGGAAGCTGGTGGCACCTGTCCTGGGCAGCTCAGGGGACAGAGTCCACCCATCACCAGAGCCTTCTGTTGGACGGTGCCATCCAAGAATCCATGACTCAGTCTGGAAACTTGGTCCTCAGGGACAGTGTCCCAGGAACCGGAGGGTGAACGCACTTTTGGAAAATAAACTCCTTTGGAAAAGCCAGACAAACGGAGCTTGAATGCTTTCATCATAAAGAAATAATCCATGGGCTGGGGATGTGGCTCAAGTGGTAACGCGCTCGCCTGGCATGTGCTGGGCGCTGGGTTCGATCCTCAGCACCACATAAAAAATAAAATAAAGATGTTGTGTCCACCAAAAACTGAAAATAAATATTAAAAAATTCTCTCTCTTTAAAAAAAAAGAAAAAGAAATGATCCATACTTGGGGAAAAAGATGTGTTCAATCTGATTTCAACACAACATGAAATACCACATGGTGCCCCACAAGCATGTACAACTTGTATGTTTTTATGAATCAGCTTGAAATAAATTAATAACAAAAAGAAGAAGAAGAAAGGAAGCTCCTCGGGGAGTTGATCCACCTGATTCTACAGGACCCCCAACGGATGCTTGGCGTGCACAGGGGTCCTTACTGCTTTTCATGGTGCTCTTGGATCTCCAAACCAGGCTCTTGAGCCCAAGAACAAGGATCAGGAAAGACCAGGGAATTCTCCCAGGGGACAGGAATTCAAAGACAGGCCCATGATGTCCCCACACACAGAGGCCTCGGGGTTTGGTACTCACGGGGTCCAGCATGAAGAGGTCCACACCTTGCCCCGTGGAAAGTGCCACCAGAGTGGCGCTGCCGTAGAGCGCGTAGCCCGCGGCCACGATGTTGCGGCCAGGCTGCAGGGCGTCCTTTTCTGAAGGCTCCCCCTCTGAGGTCTGGAGAAGAGAGAAATGAAACGTACCATCTTGTTGTCACCTGAGGGCACCCTCCACCGGGGATCCAGGCTTCTGATCTCTCAGAGCAACAGCAGAAGCGCATGCTCACGTGGAAACCTGAGAACCTGCCTCACCTGCTCTCTGCTGACCTCCAATTCCCTCCACCCGTGAACATCCCCAAGTCCCCTCCCTGGGGAGGCAGATTTGAAACTTGCCCTCCTGTCTCCACACGCTCAGCCACCTCATGAATAAACTTTATCCTTTGCAGAAATCATCTGTGCAGCACGATAACAGGCCTGGTTGAGTAACAATTTCCAGCAAGTGTATCCGGAGGAAATGAGCCGCCAGGTTGGTGCCCAGTTCCCGCTGAGCCACTCTATTAAATGATAGCCAACAGCCATCTAGCAAAGCATTCTCCACCTGCTTTCTTCCTCACTTCCAAGCATAGGTGTCTGCATTCTGCCAAGAACAGCCCTCCAGGATGCTAAGGCCACAGCCTTCTGCACTGTCCTGAGCCATGATTCTAAACCATAATGACAACCAAGACCACTGAGCTCTGGTTCTGGGCAGTACCTTATTCCACAGCCTCACCAGCCCTGTGAGATAGCAAGAGGGTGACGGACGGGAAACCTGAGCAATTAGACAACTCGTCCAACATCAGGAAGCCATGGAGCTAGAATATGCTGGTGGAGGTGAACCTAGAAGCCTTGTAAACTAGAATGTTCTGTACCCAGCCTTTTGACCACACAGATTGGTGTTCTGGGCTCTTGGTGACATAAACATTCAGTGCTGAGTCTCAGAAAATGCCAGCATATTTTCATAAATGTGCTTGACATCTGACTCTTCTTCAGAAATATTATCAGAGCGAATTCCTGGTTATTTGGGCTTGCCTGTAAAGCCTGTGCTTTATTTAAATTTGAAGGCAGAAATCTCTGCTCAAGTTCACCTAAACTCAGGGGTTGGTAGCCTATATTGTGATGAGAACATTCCTCTTTGTTTTCAGACCAGTGGCCTTAGGAAGAGATTAAAAGCTTCAAGGAGGGAGTCAGAGGGAAGCCAGCCACTTCAGCTCCCGTGCCGTCATTTGGTGTGCGTTTAGCCAAACCAATTACCTTCTCTGTGCTCCTACTTTGCCTCAGTCAAAAAGTGGCAATGATATCTGCACCTGCCTCCCGAGCAGAGGTGAGGACCAGCCCAGGGCTGAGAGCCCCAGAGAGGAGCTCAGCCTGGGCCTCAGGGAGTCAGCCAAAAAGGACACTGAGGTTCAAAGCCACCCAAAGATACCACCAGCGTCTTTCTTCAGGATTGCATGGACATGACACCGCTTCTTGATTTTTGGAAACAATCTTCTCTCCTCACTTCAGTTTGGCTTAACCCTTCAGCTTTCCCAGACATCAAAGTACCTGTGTCATTCTCTCCTGTCTCCCCCAGCAAAAGTCTCCTTCAACCTCTCCATAAGAAAGAGAGACAGAGACCAACAGGGAAAGCAAAGCCCCCTGCAGTCTCGTCCTCCATTCTGTCTCTCAAGCCCTTAGAGAATGACACACTCCTGTTTCTGTTCTACTCTCCCCAGACAGAAAAGCTAAGGCTCACACACATATTCTGCCCAAGTATATTTCCTGCTGACTTTTGATGGGTTCTCCCCAAAAGCAAATTCTAAGCCCACCCACCCCCCCGCCTTGGACAAGCATTAGCAGGACCCCACATGGTCACACTAATGTGAGTATCTGTAGCCCACTCATCAGGCCAGTGACCTGGGCCATAGCTAATCCTCCACCGAGCTTGCGATCTGGAAGAGACACTCTTGGGAAGCTCATGACAGCAGTATCCCCTTCTCCATGGGTTTCAGTCACCCACGGTCAGCTGTGGTCTGAAAATGTCATCACGGCTCCAAGATCCAGGCTCACCCCAAGCAGGTAATCATTCTCCTGGTGTCCAATGGAAGGTCAGCCATAGCCTGACCCTATGTCAGAATGCTTATGCCATCCACCTCATTTCTTGTCACATGGGCATGGGGTCATCTCACATCACCACAAGAAGGATAAGCACAGCAATTAGACAACCCAAGAGAAAGAGACTGCATTGACATAACTCTGCCATTGTTATATTGATCAATCTTATTATTAATTATTGTTGTTAATATCTTCCTGTACCTAGCTCGTAAACTTTATTGTAGTTATGTATAGAAAGGGTTTGGTACAACCTCCAACTACAGGCATCCCCAGATGTCTTAGAACGTGTCCCCAGAGGATGAGGGGGAATTATGTAATTGGTGCCACGTTGGTGGTACAGAAAGCAGAGGCATCTCCACACGTGTGATCATAAATGGTTAAGTGGAAAATGAGTGTTTACAGCCAGAGAGATAAGTCTCTAGAACCAGTTCCAGGGCAGGTCACCAACTAAAAGGCCATGATACTCCCAAGCACCCGTGGTCTCCTTCTGCCTGAGTGCTGCAGGGGACGAGGCCCAGCCTTCATGGCTACAGCAAGAACTGAACCCCAGTGAGGCCCCGCCAAGTGCTCAATATGGATTACGTGCTCTTGTGTGAAGTTTCTGGTCATGCAGGATGGTCACAAACCAACCTCTGAGATCCTCTCTGTTGCTACATTTATGGGGTAGGCAGAGCAGCCCCCAAAGATATCCTAATCCCCAGAACCTGCAGATATGTTGCCCTGCGTAGCTAAAAAGGACTTGGCAGATCTAAGATGGGTTTAAAATAGGGAGACTTTCCTGGGTTGTCCCAATTTGATTTGCACAATCTAATGAAATGGCCCCCAAACAGCACATAACTTCCTGCGGCTAGAGGCAGGGGAGACGAGGAAAAGGTGGCGGAGGGGCTTCCAGAGAGCAACAAGGCCTTGGCCAACCTTTGCTGGCTTTGAAAACAAAGAGGTCACCAGCCAAAGAACAGAGGCAGCCTCCAGGGGCTCAAAAGGACCCCCAGCCATCGCCCTACAGAGGGAGAAGACCTCGATCCTACAGAATGGAACCCAATTCCTTCCATAGCCTAAAGGAGTCTGAAGCAAATACTCACCACCCCTAGTCCCCAGCCTCGTAGTAAAAGGTCAGACTGGCTGTCACCTTGATTTTGGATTTACCAGACCCTAAGCAGAGAACACGGCCAAGCCTGCTCAACTTCTGATCCACAGAGCTGGGAGACAAGTAATAGGAGAAGTTTTATGTCTCTAAATATGTGGTATATTGTCAGGATAATGACAGAAAACTAATACAGTAGGGTTGGGATGCACAAAGATGAAAGAGAGGGTGCACCTTGAACCTAACATGGTGAGCATCTCTTATCCAAAAGTCTAAAATCTAAAATCCTCCAAAATATGAAACATTTTGAGGGCCAACAAGATATCATGTGTGGAAAATTCCATACCTGAACTCCCATGACAGGCCTCAACCAAAACAGTACGCAAAAGCCCTGTGCATGATTACATTGAGGCCCTGTGTACAGGGCGTACATGAAGCAGAAGGAAACTTTGTGTTCAGATTGGGGTCTCATCCCCAGAATACCTCCTTATACAAACGCAAATATTCCAGAATCTAAAAAAACAAATCGGAAATCTGAAACACTTCTGGTCCAAGGCATTTGGACAACAGGCCATCAAATGCACCACATCTGACATTTGTGTTCCACCCAGACCTTCAGAGCAAGGTGACTCCCAGGAATGCTGGGAGGGAGGCAGAAGAAGAGCCATGTGAGGAGCCTCAGGCAGAGAGAGCTCCCCGTGTGCCTTCAACGGTGTGTCTGGTTAGTGGGGAGATAAAGTTAAGACTCCAGACTCAAAGCTCTCAGCCAGGAACCTTCTGGAAACCGCCCCAGGGAGGAGGCAGGAGAAGTCAGCCATCTACTCACCTTTCTATAGATGGCAAATATGGTCCCGATGGAGGCCAGGCAGTCGATGTTGGAAGATCCATCCAGGGGGTCAAAGCAGACGACGTACTTCCCCTAAATCACAGAGGGAAGAGCCCCCCATCAGCATGTCCCACCAGCTCCAGGCCTCTAAGTCAGGGCTGGGTGTGGCAGACGAGTCTACACCAAAAAGAGATGGAGAGCCACGGGCCTATGCCCCAGCCTCCCGCCCAGCGGCGCCCTCTACTGGTCAGCAGGGCCCAGTGCCCAGCCCCACGCACCCGCCTCTCCTTGGCCGTGATGATGGCGTCCTTATTCTCCTCCGAGACCAGGACGCACGTGCTGTAGGACGACTGAAGCATGTTGATCACCAGGGAGTTGGACAACACGTCCAGCTTCTTCACCTCGTCTCCAGTCACATTCACGCTGCCTGCGATGCCGTACCTAAGAGGACAAGAGGCCGACTGAGGTCACTGGGGGAGCCCAGATGGCAGCAAAGAACCCCCCAGCCAGAGCCAGCGCGCCCCCACTTCCTCGCATCTCTGCGGCCTCAGGTCCTACACACTCAGGAGCACACGACCCCTCGTGGCAGCACCTCTCAGCCTTGCTTCCTTTGCATCTTGGGGACATGGTCATATTTCCTTGGTCTCCCCAGGAGACAACCTAAGCTCAGCACCAGTGGGTGGGGAGGACGGGGGAGCTCCAGAGTCAGGCACAGTGCCATACTCCAGGCCTCCAAGAAGTCAGGGCTTGGCTTCCGGCACTGAAACTCCACGACTTGGGGTTATCCTCCACTAGCTCCTCCTGGGTTGAAATAAAATGGCCCTGTGGTAGCTACTTGAACTAAGGAGGAAATTTGGGGACAGACTTTCTTAATTTAATTTGCTTCTCCACGACTATCCCAAGCACTACAAGAAAGATCACTACTATAAAAATCTATCTAGGGGCCCTGTGGGGTAGCTCAGTGGTAGAGCACTTGCCTAGCAGGTAGGAGGCTCACAATTCCATCCCAGCACCACCAAAAAGGAAAAGAAAAGAAAGTCTATCTCAGGGCTTTGGTTTTAGAGTATTAAAAGGCAAAGCTCTCCCTACTCCTGCCTTCTCCCCTCTAAGCAAAAGAAGTCTTTCTGAAATGCCAGGCACATCACTCCCCTCACCCAGAGGCAAAGACAAGAGCCCATGGGAGAGTCAGGCACACAGAAGATGGGTTCCCACACTGGCGTGGCCTCCTGTCCCTCTTGTCTCCTTTCAGCCAGTCTCTGCCTCCTCTGGAACCCACCAGGCATGCAGCTGCCCTGGCCAACTGACAAGTGGCCTGGCTGCCCCCCCGCCCCCCCACATGAGCATAGCCCTCCAGGAGCCACATGGCTCTCATCCAGGTCCAGCTTGACCCACAGCTCATTTCTCAGCGAGGCTTTCCCTGACCACCAGCTAAACCAGCAACTCCCAACCCCAACATCTTTATTGATTTCTTCCTCTCCTTAGCCCTGACCACCATCTAGCATTAGTTTAATTAATTTAGAAGGGATTTTTTTTCTCTGTTTGGATGGCAGCTGTTCTTAGTCTGGCCACCCACCCACCACTGCAGTGAGTCACATTCTGCATGGATTGCTGGCCTTCCACCAGCCTCAAATGTCCTGTGACCTCAGCCCCAGCAAGCCTCTGCCCTTTCATCTCTGCTCCTGGTGCAAGCCACATGGCAATGCCCACTGCCCAGCCTCCTGACACCCTCCAGGTGGCCTCCTGGTTCTCTGACGAGTCCCCGCCACACAATGACATATCCTGTCATTCTCCCACAGCAGCTCAGTCTGTTCCTGGGACACCCTCCCTGCTGAATTATCTGCTTGCTGGGACAAGAACCGTGCCTTGCTGTCTGGTTTTCCGCCGTGCTCAGCACAGAGGAGATGCTCAAATTACGTTCCCCAAGTTATGGAGAAAGGATGGCAAGAAAGCAATGTTTCTTCTCATCCCTACTTTAATTCCATTTATGTGTGAAAAAAATCCTCAGATGGTCCTAAGAGGCAGCAGAGTTGAGAACCACTGATTACCCTAAGCCAGGAACAAACGCATCACCCACCCTCCTGCCTGACTGACAACCTCTCTCCCTTCCACGCCCCCCCACCACCACTTATCACTGGATGTTTGCTATGATAAGGCAGCTGGCAGTCTGACCAGAAACACTGACTTCCTGGTTCAAGACAAAAGCAAGCAAAAGAAATAACAGCAACAATCAAAATAGGTGATTTTTGCATGGGCATTTAAAGGGACCACATGCCCAATCCTCTTGTTTAATATGGACTATTGAGCTGCATGAACAGCTGGAGCATCCAAGGCCTGTGTGGGCAGAGGTGAGAAGCAGGCTCTGCCTGTCCTGTGCTTTACAACCTGTCCTGTGCACCCTCCCTCCATGCCCTGTGCAACACCTCTCCTTCCAGAAAGAGGAATTCACAACCAGTCCTGTTTCAACTTAGGTCAGGCATGAACAGTACCCTCCAACCCACAGGGCAGTATCTTTTAGCATTTTAACTAGCTCTGAAGCTCACTGACAACTTCTAAATGGGATGTTCTACTGTGTGGGCACAAAAAGTCAAGGAGAGACTTCTAGGATAGCACTCCAGCATCCTCCTTTCCATAGAAAAGAGAGGAGAAAATATAAAGGGGAAAAATAATAACCTCTAATAACTTATCAATTGCATTGATGGATCCTGTGCCTAGAAATGTCTTCCCAAGGGGGAAGTAAAGAAATGAGGGGCTTGAGTTCCCCTGAGTGGGACAGTGGAAGGAACGTGGCCCAGTCTTACAGGCATTAGTGTGGCTGCTCTTCTAACAGGGGGTAAGGTTTCTGCTTTAGGTCCTCTGAGATGCTGCCATTGTAGGGACCCAGGCCCTTGGTCACAGCAGCAAAAAAATCATGGAATCCTGACACTTTTCCTAGGGCTGCGCCTGCCACCTAGTGGTCAATTGGCTACATAGGCTAGCTGGCAAATTTCTCCAGGTCTGCACTTGCAACGTGCTAATAACAACTGGAGCGTTTAAGGAGCATTTATTATGGGGCTGGCACTGTAGAAATCTTCAGCACATGGACCTACCAACCCTTATCACAAGCCTATGAGTTAGGGGCAATTAGTATCCTCTCCATTTTACAAATGAAGAAACTGAGTTCCAACAAGAGAAAAACATTGCCTATGATCACATGGTAGCAAAAGCCAAGTTAAATAATCATCCTGATTCTCCAGTTCCTAGGACCAGTTTGTCTTGACACTAAACTACCAGCAAGCAGATAAATAAGAACTCAGCCAAGGCAGCCTCAGACCGGTAGAGTCCTGCAGTGAGGAGGAACCCCGCTAGTGTGGACAAATAGTGTCACTGAGGTGGGGTGTCACTGAGGGCATCGCTCGAGTATAGCAAGCAGGGCTTGTGTGTGGGGAGAGACAAAGGTGCTATCCAGTGTCATTCAGGAGGGCCCATCACCTGGCAGTAGCAGGACAGGGGACCTCACGTTTGAGAAGGCCTTTAGAGGAAGAAGTTGGCCATTATTGCCAAGTGAGATGATAATGCAGTCATAGTGACTCACAGGGGAAAACAAATGGATCCTAATGTTACTTTAAGTAGGGTCCCATTACTGGGTCCCAAATCCTTACATAAATAAAGTCTGTTATAATCTTATCATAATTACATCTTGTAATATAATGCTATTGTTGTAGGGACAGACGAGGCAAGGAACCGAAGATAGCAGGAAACAGTTTTATTTGGCTGCAGCCAGGTTCAGAGGGCACAGCTTTTGCTGTAATCAATCAATCCCCTGAACCCCAAGTTCAGATTTTATACCCAGCATGTAAGGGGAGGGACTCACAAGTTCACAGTCTGCAGAAGTTCACATAAAAGTAGCTTTTTCTTTCACTGTTCTGGGCAAGTTAACCCTTCAAGGATAGCACCTGGGAAGGGGAGAGCTTCTCCTCCCCTTTCTTCCCTCCCCTGCCAGCTGTTACCATGGAGCCCAACTAGTAACTTATCTTATCTTAGAAATGTAGTCATCTCTGTGAAGTGAAGCTCAAGGCCAGGGGCCTTGCTTACACATTTCTACAAACTATTATACTGGACACGTGTTTGTGAAAAACTAGTAAGGGGGTGTCCAGCACCTGGAGTGCTGATTTCTTCTCCTGGCCAGTGGCCAACTAAAACAGGGCAACACAAAAATAGAAGTTAATCTACATTGAACTCTTTTGTGGAGATTCTTTTGCTGACAGTTCTAAAATCAGCCATGGTGAAGATTTCTTGAGAAACCTAGTAAGACTTTTTGTGGAAGAGGGGGTGCCACTACGTTATCACACTTTTTTCATCTTAAAATTGCTACATTATTAAGAAGAAATATTTGAAATAATTAGACTTTGTTAGCTTTTAATTTGGGGTTTGCTCTCACCCCCCAAAAAAAGCAGGTCCCTCAACTTCTAAGAGGACCTCTCCTGGAATCATGACAAAGAAAGCGAAGCCCCAACAAAAGATGGTTTCTTTTCATCAAAGATTTGCATTGGACATTTGGCCATGACCCTCAGCAGCCTTAGCATGAACTTGGCCTCATTCTGCACTTGGAAAAATCCTTAGCAAGAACCAAGGAAAGAGAACCCCTCAGTCACCTCCCAGACCAAGCACCCCCCCACCTTCCTGCACGCCAAGTGGAGACAAAGACAGAGAGTCACAGAGAAGACATTTGAAAACATCGCCTGCAAAGACTCCTTCTATGGTGAGAGGAGAGGTGAAGGACAGGGAGCTGTGCAGTTTTCTATTTTGTGAATGATTTCTACTCCTGGCCATCCACCAGGGTCATGACAAACCCTCAGATCTGCAAATGATGTGGAGAGCTGTTTCAGGCTGCCTGTGAGAATCCCCTTCTGCTGACACAAGTCCTGAGAATTCAATATGCTCTGCAGCAAGCCCCTGCCTGCGTTATTGTTGTAAGTAGTAACTGGAGAGATTTTATCTATTTTTCCCTGCAGGGCCTCAGAGTCCTTCGTTCCTTTCTTGAAACACTTTAAAGCCTCCTTTAACAAAGCATGCAATTTGATACACAACTTCCTTCTGGGGCACAGAAAGCAAGCAAGACCCGATTTCTAGCCCGGGCACCTGCAGGACGGCACCCACTGGCCCGCTCCGCGCATGCGCCCCGACTCACAGGTGGGCCAGGCCGGCCTTGCGCACGGCCGAGGAGATGGCCTTGATGGCGGTGAGCATGGAGTTCAGCAGCTGGGTGAGCTCCCCGGTGCCTTTGGCCTGCCGCCCCCTTTCCATAACGTAGCGGGTCAGGGTGAGCATGTCGGTTTCGAAGGGGCTTCTGTCCGTCATGGTGGCCGAGGATGCTTCCCACCTTCCTCCCTGCGGTCCCTGGCTTTCCCTGAGGGGCTGCGGCTCTGCAGTGTGGAAGCTGATGCGGAACCCGCAGTGGCCTTGCCAGGACCTTTAAGGCAAAGGGCCCCAACCCACGTGACAGAAATGACTGGACAAGCCCTCAAGGAAACCTCTTGGCCTCCCTGGTGGCAACAGCTGCCAAAGCGCCACATGCAAGCTGTAAATAGAACTGGGCTGCGCGGAAACCCAGGCCGCTTCCCTTCCCGAGCTCCCCTCTTCCAAGATCCTTAGATGCAACCATATAGTAATGGGAGTGGGGTGAGATCCGGCTAATAAAGAATGACCCATCAAAGCCTCTTATTCAAGAAGACGAAGGGATTCCTCACTGGGACAGTGCAGAGCCTGACTCCCCCACGGTTAAGGCTGGTAGATTGGCAGAGATCTTATCTGAGGCATAGGTCACATACTTACATAATGCCAATTTCGGGATCTCCTCAGCCAGGTTCTTTCAGATAAATGGGCTTCCAGAACACGTGTGTGATCTGACTGAATGGAGACCCAGACTCTTCCAAATCTGGAAGAAAAAAAAATCATATTCCTAGCATAGCACCTAGCTCCAGTCTTACTCTACCAATTTTTCTAGATTGGTGTTTTGAGAACAAAAATAATACTCATTCGAAATTATACTTGCTAAATAACTGTATAAAGACTCCTCATCACCAGTCTGACCCCTCATCCCACTCCCTAGAAATAATTGTGCTGGAAGCTGCTGGGGGTCAGTGTGGCGAACAGGCACAGTGGTGATCCCAGGTGTTGGCCAGAGCTCTGTGTCTAGGGACAGACCTGGCTCAGAGTACCAAGCTACTTTTCTGCTAGTTGTACAATTTGAAATGTTACTTAACCCCTTGAAATTCAGTGAGCTCACTTGTGAATGTGTTTAACACAAAATACCCACCTGGGAGAAAGAGGATTAAAAATAACAAGATGTAGCTGGGCAGGGTGGCACTGGCCTGTAATGTTAGCCACTCAGGAGGCTGAGGCAGGAGGATTGCAAGTTCAAAGCCAGCCTCAGCAACTTATCGAGGCCCTAAGAAACTCAGCAAGACTCTAAATAAAATATAAAAAAGGGCTGGGGATGTGGCTCAGTGGTTAAGTGCCCAAGTTTAATCCCTGTACCCCCTCCAAAAAAAATGATAAGTTGTACTCAATACTTTGTTAGCAATCTTTCCTCCTTCAGTGTTTCAGTGTGCCTATAACAATATGTATACAGACATAACTAAGAATTTACACATTGCTCTTCAGTTTGATATTTTCCGCTTGACACTTATTTAGAATGTTTTTAGCTGCAAGTAATAGAAAACACGGAGCAAGCTACACACAGGTTTGCTTGTTTTGTTTTGTTTTTTCTCATAGTGCACTTGCTAGGCAGTGGCTGTGGCATGCTTTCAGCTCTTCAGAGGTCCTGTTGGGAACCCCTCTCTGTCCCTTCTCTGTCATCCTGGGTCTGCTGGCATTTGTCCGCCTGCTTGTCACCTTGTGGTCACAAAGTGGCCATCACTCTGACTACTTAGCCCACACTGAAGACTCAAAGGAGCAGAAAATAAAAAGGAAATGTTAGTTCCCTTTTATTAAGAAAGAAAAATCCTCCCCCAACCCATCCATCCACCCCCAGTAGATTTCCACCTTACAGAGCTTTGGCCAGATTCATGTCTTACGAGGACTCCTGAGGTGAGAGTTGGCCACTGGTATTGGATCAACCAATCCAAAGTGTCCGCCACAGCCAGACATCCTGGGGATACATCTGAGTCAGTCACAGAGACTTCCTGTGGTCCAGTGTGTGGACATTTGGATAATTTTGGAAGAGTTTGTTCTTCAAACACGCCCAAGCAGTGTCCTCATATTTGCTACAAGAGCTTCAGTAAGACACGGGCCTCGAGGAGGAACTGCTGGGTCAGAACATTTCAGTCTTGATATCACCAGGATCCTGGGAGCTTCTGGGGACTGAGGACCACAGAAGGGAGCCTTCTCTGATCCCCACAGGCCATTTTGCTGGTAACAAATAACTGTGTTTTGCCTTTCACATGAGAAGACTGACTATGATTCTGATATAATTATAGAAAAAGTAGTGGATGGATTTTTAGAGTTCTGGGCCAGTTGATGACTGAAAGATGAAGAGAGAAACCTTTGAGTGGTTTTCAGGTTTCCTTTGCAATCTGACATTGTCCTCTGATGCAGAGGATTTCCTGGGTGATGGTGCAAAATAACACCCCTCAAGGGTCACTTCTACCCTAGAAAAGGGAAATGTGTATTCACACAAACAGCCCTGTGGAGATGTTTACCTCAGCTCTATTTTTAACATTCAGGAACTGTAAACACTCAAATGCTCCTCAGCAGCAAATGGGTAAACCAACTGGTAGATCCTTGGAATGGAATACTGCAAGGCAAAGAACTATTTTCACATGGATCTCAACAGCATTGTGCTGAGTGAAAGAAGCCAGTCTCAAAGGGCTTCATATGCATGATTCCATGTGTTCTCAAAAGGACAACATGACAGCGATGGTTGCCAAGGTTTCCAGGGTTGCTGGGGGGTGAGGGTGCAGGGAGGGCATCAGCCAAGGGAGAGTCTTGCATGACAAATTGTTCTGCATCCTGATTATGGAGCGATTTGCCTAAATCTGCATGTTGTGTCAAATTCACTCGGTATTTTTCTCAAAAGTCTGTTTTACTTTCAAAATACAAAGTAGATCATAGACAGTCTGCAAACCCTATTGGTCTACTAGTGGATCAGTAGAAAAATTAGAAATGACTGTAGCAATTTTTCCACATTATGATTGTTCTGATTATATTTATTAAGATGTAATTTAAATGTAACAATGAGTGCCATTCCAATTTAAGCAAAGTTACAATTAACATTATTTTGTATGTATTTCTTTTTCACATCATTTTTTCAGTAATTCTTTTTACCATTTAGATCTGGGGGGTGGGTGAGGGAGTGCTGGGGATGAACCCAGGACCTCAAGCATTAACCACTTGTAAGTGCCCAATTCAATGGCATGAGCACATCCACGTGGTTGGACAACCAGCCCCACCATCCATCTTCAGCTTCCAGAGATGAAACTCCATCCCCATTAAACATGAACTTCCCTTGCCCCCCACCCCAGCCTCTGGCAGCTACTTTTATACTTTCTGTCTCTATGAATTTGGCTACTCCAGGTACCTTGCATAAATGCAACCCTACAATATCTGTTCCTTTGTGACTGCCTTATTTCACTTAGCATAGTATTCTCAAGGTCATGCACAATGTAGCCTGTGTCAGAATTTTTCTCCTTTTTAAGGCTCAATAATACTCACTGCATGCATATACCACATTTCGTCTATCCATTCATTGGTCAGTGAACACCTGGGTTGCTTCCACTTTGGGGCTGTTGTGAAAAATGTTGCTTTGAGCAATCATCTGTTAAGTTCTTGATTTTAGTTCTTTGGAGTACATATACAAAGTGGAATTGCTGAAGCACATGATAACATCATTTAATTTCTTGGGACGCTGCCGTTCCATTTTCTGCCAGGACCACACCATTGCACATTCCCACCAGCCATGAACGAGGTTCCTGTGTCCCTGTATTTTCACCTACACTTGTTATTTCCTTTTTCCTATAACTGCCATCCTAGCTGGTTTGCAGTGGTGTTTCATTGTAGCTTAGAATGGCATTTCCCCTGTGATTTGCAATATGGAGCATCTTTTCATATGCCTATTGGCCATTCCAGTAATTCTTTTTATTATGTTTCATAAATGTAACTATTCACAACAGATTAGCAATGAGACAGGGAAACCAACAAGCCAGGATTTCACAGAGAGCTGCAGAGCACAGGCGGCTGAGCACTCTGCTATGTCAGGAATGAGAAGTTTGGGTAATTCAGGGCTCAGGGGGAGAAACATTGGCTTGTGCCATTTATAAGCAGTCAACTACTGCCTTGTAAAGAGTGAGGGAGGCCTGCTATCTTGCCAGCCTCTAGCCCAGGCTGACATCAGGCATGACAATCATACCCTTTGCAGCTACATTTAAATGTTACAAGTTCAAGTTACCCACATGGCCTGAAATTGCAGCTGCTGACCTTTCAGCAAATGCCAAAGTTCTTCCAGGGCGGGCGCACAGAACAGAGGGGAGACGGAGCAGCTGGTGAAAGCCCAAGGGGTGCGGGGGGGGGGGGGGGGGGGGGGGCTGAATTCCCTCACCATGATTTCAGTGCCACTGATCCATGGGTGACCACAGAGCTATTTATGACCTGCTGTGCTTGGTGAAAGATGCTCACCAGTCTAAGTGCATCAGGACATTCAGACCCTCCGGGATCCTCCCAAAGACCAGAAATGTGACTCCAGAGTTTTAACTGGGAGATCATTCTTTGCTGGCAAAACCCTGCCAAGAAGCTCTGGGTGCACCCTCTCGTGTGGTTCCAAACATGCTCCTTCATGAAAGTCAGCATTCCTGCCTAGAACATGGTAGACAACTTTGGGGTATGCCCTATTCATGGCCACAGCTGATTGGACCAGAGGTGGACACTTGACACATGCTGAGCCAATCAGATTTTTTTCTCCTAGAAACTTAGGTGGGACACAGAGATGTCAGTGAATTGGATGAGGATAATGGAACTAAAAGAAATGTAACCTCGCAGGTAGGAAAGCAAAGGATTCCGGGTTTCACAAGATCCCCGTGAGATTCTCCAGCAAATTCCCTTTCTAATTTAGCCCTAATGAGTGGGTTTCTGTTACTTACAGTGAAGCTGGCCTTGACTACAACAATAGCTATTACAATTAATATAGCAGAGCATGTTATCACAACCAACATTTGCAAAAGAAGATACTGAGGCTCAGAGAGGTTAAAAAGCATCACCAAGCTCAGCCTTAGTCAGTACAGCCGAGGTGGTGGTACAGTGGCATGGCACAGCCAAGAAAGGTTCGTTCCTCCTTCATCTCACAGTCTGAAATAGACTGCAGCTCAGGCTGCTACCAAGTTGCACCACCATCAT